TTAATCACAAACTCTTTTTGACCTATCTATACTTAAAAATTAACCACATTCAATTGGTAATCTATGTCTACCACATCTAAATTTACACAGTGAGGGTCTTAAATCAAAAGGTAATACAGCTGAATAATTTTCCATACCAAATTCAGTCTTATACATTCTGTAATTTAAACATTCAGATGAATTGAATATTCTAGTCTTCCAATCATTTACAAATAAATCATGGTAATACTGCTTCACATTTTTAGATTTTTAGATAAATTACAATACTTTCCAACAAATTGATTATTCCAAGCATCAACCTATCCACATTCAATTAAAATATCTTTTACATAATTTAACCATTTAGAATGATAAACATTACCACAGTCGAGTCTATACAACATTTTGTACAGTGTATATGAAATTTTCTCTTTTTTACCCATTACAATACGTTCCTAAAAACCAATCATTCTTGCTTTAATGCGAACAGACATAGGTACTCCAGCAAGTTCACCATATAATATGCAATTAGGTGTACATTTTTTAACTTTCATAATATATTTAAAAAATTCAAAACAATATCATTTTTTTCATACCCCAAACCTCAGCACATATAATAGAAAAGGTGCAACCATAGCATCAAACTATTGTAGTAAAATATCTATTGGTAAGCACAATTTTCTTGCTATTTATCATTTAAAATACAGATTTAATTGCATTAGTAATTTCTTGTTCATAAATTGACTATTAATAACAGTATTGTACTCACTAACATTTTCAGCCAAAATAACATCAACATCATTTTCAACATTATTCAGACTTTAAAAATGGTTAAAAAATACATCAAGAGTAACCTTCTGTGTAGTATTTTTACCTTTATCACAACCTTTATTCAACAATGACAACAAGACTTAGGATCAGTGGTACGCAGACCACGTAGTTTTCTAACAAATGCCCTTTGATACTCATTAAATTGCATTTTCAAAGTCTTCTTATACTCTTTGCTTTTACATACCATATCTATAAAATTAATTGTTGAACGAACTCTATAAAAATACTTCTTTGACTGGCGATATTCTTTACGTTTTACATAACAATCATTATTAAAATACCCTTTACAGCGTAAATTCTGACGTTTTAAATTTTTCTTTGCATTCCTATTATTAATTTTAACAAACATATCTGCAGGTTCAGCAGCATTCTTAATAATATTATTATAATCATCTACAGCCCTATTAATAATTACAATATTTGTTTTTTTAAGGATCAGTATCCTCTAGTCGCGAAAAATAACATATTACGTTAGCAACTCACTACCTCCCCTGTAACTGTATTGTATGCCATTAAACGTATATTTATAGATCCATCAGAGGTTATAAACCATTAAAAGTTTAAGTTAATTGATTCTAATGAAAACGTTTACAAAATTAGGAACAATCGATAAAAGTAATGAGATTCCAAATTGAATGAATTGTTTTTATCTTGTTTTCAAAAACCGGTTTAAAATTTTTTTTTTAATGAATACAGTACCGAAAGGACAACTGGTTTGCAAAAGGTCGACTAATCATTTGATCTAGAGTTCGACAGCTGGAAAGGTCAACTAGTCAACAAATCGATTGGTCAACGGGAGATCACGTCATTTGGTCGATAGGTAATATATCAGGTTGAAAAGTTTCGCTGTTTATTTCTCGGTTTGTTCTAACTTGAAATTTGATTTTCTTGTTCATTATGACATATTTTTCTGTCATAAACTTGTTATTTGCTAAAAATCGCATGCAAACGGTTTTTCGTTTGTTAAAATCGTGAATTCGAATATTAAATAGATTAAACGATCATCTGCAAAGAAGCTATCAATCGCCAGACAACTTTTATATTTACAACGCAAAACTATTCGATACCTATATCCACTTGTCGAGCTTCTTATCCGTTGTCCTGTTGACATGGTAACTCGTCGACCCGTTGAACAGCAGAACACTTGCAGAAAATGAAATGAATTGATATATAGAATAGTTGATGTGTGTTCTGTTGACTAGCGTATCATGTCATGTCGATTTGCGGAAAAAATCGACCTTTGGAACAAGACTAAGGCGGCATTATGGCTTATTGACTCACCTGAAGATTTTCTGACTTGTTGACTTGCAGAAATGGCATAAAATGAAACAAGGCCTCATTGATTTGTTGACGCAACGACCAGTTGGCCTGTTGATTTGCTTGGCACTGAAAACTAAAGACATATGGAAACATGGACCTGTCGTCACTAGGTAGAACTCATGTACTCCGGATGGGTAAGCGATTCCCAGTTAACGACAAATTACGCCGTGATTCTCATGTAGGTCGTTTCGGAGTTATATTCCATTGTAAATACATAAATAAAGGCAACAGTATACCGCTGTATAATAGTCATAAAACGATTAAACTGAAATAAATCCGGGTCACAAACCAAAATCAAAACCATAAGCCAGCAATTTATTGAATTGGTTTTTATGCCCCAACTAGGGGCATTATGTTTTTCGGTCTGTCCGTCCGTTCGTTCGTCCGTTCGTCTGTCCGTCTGTTCGTCCGTCCGTCCATCCGTTCGTCCGTCTGTCCCGCTTCAGGTTAATGTTTTTGGTCAAGGTAGTTTTTGATGAAGTTGAAGTCCAATCAACTTGAAACTTAGTACACATGTTCCCTATGATATGATCTTTTTTATTTTAACTAGAGTTTTGACCCCAATTTCACGATCCACTGAACATAAAAAATTATAGTGCGAGTTGGTTTGTTTGACCGTTATGGAATATCTGTTTCACAGATGACGACGGATATGTTACAATTGTCGTAACCAAAATCCCGTCCTCTTTTCCGCGAATGTGACCTATCGAATTATGATTATTACCGGGTTTGTACTTACATGAGCAACACGACGGGTGCAACATGTGGAGTATGATTTGCATAACCATCCGGTGCACCTGAGATCATCCTAGTTTTTGGTGGGGTTATCTGTATCGCAGATAACCACGGATATATTTCAAGTGAGGTAGCCACATTCCCGTCCTCTTTTCCTCAATTGTGATATCACCGAATTTGTATTTTTCTATGAGCAACATCAAGAATTAACCCCGATTTTGCTAGGGTTCTTTTTGGTCAGTCATTTTGTTTTGTGTGTAGCGTTTGTAGACTGATGTGTTTATCATCGTTTTTCTGCGTTTTTTATCTTTGCCATGAAATTGTCGGTTTCTGATTGTCCCATTGGTATATTCTTGATTTTGTTATGCTAAAATCGAATACCACTTATTTTCTTTATTGACCTTTTTTTCAAAACACCTGTTAGCAAGTAGAAATCAAAGATTAGATAACTTTCGATAGATCAATAATAAGACTTTTTATGGTTATGAATATGTGCTGATTAGGTTAGTCAATGGAGAGAAAATAATGCAATAAAGTGCTCGGGGAAAACTCACGAATTTAAATTTACATCGATTCCTATCCATTGTTTAACCTTTTTATTGTATCACATGTTCATATCACGAGCCTCATTAGCTAACTTTTGGTATGGGTTTTTTTTTGAAGGACGTAAGGTGATGTAATTGTACATGTAATTGTTCACATTTTTTTCACTTTTGTCGTTCAATGGATAGTTGTCTCATTTGAAATCATACTACGTTTCCTTACATTAATATTTGTCATGTACGATAAGGTAAAATACACATAAAAGTTACTGAAAAGATGATAAAATAATGAAAAAATCATTATAATGAGGTCGACAAGGTCAAATATTTGTGCCATATTGACAATTACACTTAACAGCCTTTCTAAAGATATATTATGGACTATCAAAACAATGACCGATAAGCTGTTAGAATCGCACTGAATCTATGCAAATAGGTAAACGATGCAAATTGGGTCAGTTGCACGAACCAGTCGGACACTTTCACCTTATATATTTCTATTCTAAATTCCATGAACAGACGATCTAATTACAAATGTAAGGGATGTCGTTTATTCTGATTGACTGAATGATACATGACCTTACTGATACAAGTATGCGTTACTCTATGATACCAGAACTAACTGTTACGTGTTGTGCTAGGGTGTTCGAACCAACGTGAACGGGTTGATCTAAATAACGAATGTACCAAAAATAGAATTATGACCCTAATGACCGTCTACATTTGTGTAATGTGCTAGATTTATACATGCTTCAGGCTTATACATGAGTTTGATGAGTTTAACAACCATTGGGTCGTATCAACTGCTGGTGGCTAATTCGTCCCCGATGGCTTCAACAGCCCACTACTCAGCATATGTCTTGACATAAAATATCACTGATATGTCAATTTTATGTAAATTTACTGATAATAAAATGATGAATTATTCGAACCACTAAGGCTTTTCTACACCCAGGAATAGATTGCATTATTCTTATGTGGCACAACTTTTCTGAACTTTCGGTTTTTGATGCTCTTCAACTTCGTATTTGATTTGGCTCTCTAACTCTTTTGACTATACCGCCTCAATGAACCTATAAAGACGAGACGCGCGTCTAGCCTGTTATATTTTACAACCACTGGGCCGATGCCACTCTGGTGGACAAATCGTTCCCGAGGGTATCACCAGCTAAGTAGTCAGCATTTTTGTGTTGACATGAAATATAATTGATACCTTCATTTACTATTTATAAAATGCTGAATTATTCAAATCTCTAAGGTTTTTCTACCCCCGGGAAAAGTTGTTCTAATTCGTATTGGGCATAACTTTTCGGCTCTTTCGGTTCCTAATGCTCTCCGACTTTGTATTTGATTTTTCTTTCCAACTGTTTTGATTCAAGCGCCACTGATGATTCCTATGTCGACTAAACGCACTTCTGTCGTAAAAAATTATAAACCTGGTATATTTGATTAAAATGTACACGCTTCAGTGTGACATGTCAGAATAAAACACGTTTCTGTTATAAACCAATCCTGACTAGAGGTTTCAGTGAAAAATTTGTAAACTTATCGAATTGCCCTGATATACAACTTTTTTTTACAAAAATTACTTACTTATGAAAACATATCTTTTATTAAATGTAGTCACTGAAAATGAAAACAAACGCAATTGACATTTGTACGTCAAAAACACAACTATAAAGAATCTACGAGGGTTTTCCGTCTCATCTGTCTTCTGAAATATGAAGCTCCCGACATAACCACCGTTGTAATTGCACAATTGTATCTCAGACAAAAAACTAAATTATTAGTAAATCGTGAAAAATGAATATCACTTATAAAGCTTTAATTTACACCAGCGAGCAAACTGGCTTGAGTCATTCGAAAAGTAAGCAAATTCTTGTTCATTAAGTCTTTCTTCAGCTCTTTTCACTACCTCCTGTGGGGTATACGTATTAAAGTTAGTTGCTGGATAAATAATAACTTTGACTGATCCATCAAAAGGAATTAGTAGTTTTTCTTTTACGATTGTATGATGCTTGAAAGGACCACAATAAGCATAATGTGCTATATTACATGTTGTGTAATTATCTTCCTTTCCATTTACATCAAGAATTACAGCGTTATGCCATAAATTATAATAGCTGTACGTAATGATATCGCCAATATTGACATCAGTCTTTTGAAGAATTTGTCTTTTTTCAACGCCTAACACTGACTTGTTTCTTTCATAGCAAGAGGAACAAAGCATGCCATGTTCATATTCTTTTTCGTTCCTTTCATTTTCGTCACTTATTCCATGAAATCCAGAACGAAGGAACATCCAGAATACCATAGTAAATTTACGTTCCTGGAGGCTTCGTTTTCTACCTGTAACACACCATGTTGCAAAGTGCTCGCAATTATTTTTAAATAAGTTATATTTAAATTGTCCTTGTCCGCCCTCTAAATCTGCATTTGCTTCTGATTTGGCTCTTTCAGCAATTTCGTGAGGAGGAAATAGTTTAATCTTGCGGCTATATTTGTAAACTACCATTTTCCTGTCTTTAAAATTCACCCTTTCTTTGACTTTTTTTAGTCTCGCTTTGTTACCGAAAGGGTGCAAACTGGCGAATGTCGCTTTAGCGGAAGTATTTGTAGCATGTACAATTTCAATATCAATTTCATTGTCTGTCCGTGTATTAGTTTCCACGGCCACAACAACTGCATGGTGGTCATATATCCTTCCCGGAAAGGCAATGTGATCACCTGCTTGTACATCTTCCTTTGAATTAACTTGTAATGGCTTTACACATTCCATACAAAGACTTTCATTTACGACAAGAGCTTCTGAAATTGATTTGTTGTCATCTATTTCCTCATCATGACGAAAACTATCAAACGAATCAACAGCATCGAAAAATTCTTCCTCGTAGACATCTACAATATGCTGTTTTATAGACACCGGCTGCATGTAAGCATCTGTTTCGTCATTGTTTTCAGAAAATGGTAATGATAAACCCTCCTTTTCCAAAATGTTGATGTCAGCACCCTTGATTAAATCAGTGTCTGCTCTAACGGGAGCACTAGCTTGTATTTTGTATTCCCTCCTACGCTTTTCTTCCTCAAAGTCTTTTTTCAAATTAGGATAGGTATTATATCTTTTAGGCGTAGTCATGTTCCGAATCGTAATAGCTGATGGAGCTCTTTGCATTAACTCTGAAGGCAGGTTAAACGTCTGTTCCATTTTTTCAATTACTTGCCCAACGCTACAATGACAAATAGGCATTTACAAATCAAGTAATGATGCATTGACATCTTAAGTCTTAATTTTGCAGTTGTCTATTTGTTTTCTTTGCTTTGCGGTGCATTAGATTGTGCCGATTACTGTTAATTGATCGATCATAAAAAAAACCTACATTTGCGCGTAGCTTTTCATTACATTTGCGCACATTCATTTTGCAGTTAAACCCAGGTATATTCAAGAAAACATCGGTATAAAGTTAAACCTATCAACATATATTTGCCATAGTCTGATATGATAAAATAACTGTTAAATCATCAGTCATACATGTAAGTTATACACCTTCCGTATGTCTTACTCCATTCATCGGTCGGCATTTGAAGTCTTTTTTATAAACCACAGATGGAACAAACATCAAGTCAATCATGGGTACATAACAACATTAAAACTAGTTATTTAAAATCTAGAAATGTATGATCAACCATAGCACATGTCATGGGAAAGTATCGATTTCATTGTAATTGTCTTGGAACAACGTTGTTAAATAACCTGGCTTTTCAAATAACACGATCACTATTCGATTTTCTGAGGAAAAAGAATACTGTTAATTCTTCGATACTCGCAATTAACTTACAATAACTTTAAATGTTAATACAAATTCTTATAGATGGTGAATTAGGGATGAATTTGCAAACGCAACCCATACGTTGCTCTTTAACCGAACGACTAATCTTTAGCGTAGGAAACGGTTATAATCCTCTTGTCTCTGTAAGGATAACTGTTCTAAACTTCTGACACCTTTGGAATAGTTTCTGACATAACCTGTTTTATCCTAGCACTGTTTTTTGACGTTTCAATACTAGAATGGAATTTTGGGTCCCCAATGCTCTTCAACTTTGTACTTTATTTGGCCTTTTAAACTTGTTTGATTCGAGCGTCATTGATGAGTCTTTTGTAGACTGCGCGTCTGAACATTTGTGACAGCTCTGTTTATTTATTCAAATATTTTTTTTTATTTTTTTAAATGTCTTTGTTTACTTGTTTGCCTTTATTTATTTATCTATTTTTTGTTTGGTTATGTATCTTTATTTTTAAATTCAAATTTTGTTTTAATTTCGTTATGTATTTATTTATCAATTTAAAATTTATCTTTATTATTTTCAACAAAATATTCGAGGATATTGTTATTTTTCTTTGATTATTTAGTTTTGTTCCATGTTTTTTTAAATTATTGTTTCGGTTTCTTTTATTTAGTTTTATAACCGGTTGTTATGAGCGTATTAACTAAAATGACTAAATATTACTTAACCACATCTACCATTAAATAAGATTGTGCAATGTAATAATTTTAGGTTAATTCAGACAGAGAAAATGATGATGATCGAACTATTTTACCTGTACTATAATATACAAATAAAAGTTTGATTCTAAACTTGGAGAAAAACCAGAACTAATATACTAGTACATCAAAATCTTACAACATTAAGTCCACGGAAAATATTTTTAAACCAAGAAAAGATGAAGGCCATTGAGTTTTATTGTTTAATCCTTTCAAGATCTAAAATCAGCTTATGACTTATGGAGAAATCAAGTGTTCTCCCCGGACTTCCTTGGCGATCAGGACTGTTCTAAATAAAGATCAGAGAACGGCTCTGATTTACGTCATTAAGAACTTCTCTATCCTAAACATTTTCTGACAGTTCTACCCTAGAACAGATCCTGACAGGTCTACATTGAAACCGTGTTGAAGTTCCATCATAGAACCGATTCTGATAGTTCTACCTCAGAAGCGATTCCGACAGTTCTGTCCTACAAACGATTCTGGCAGCGCTACGCTTGGACAGTTCCGGGCTAGAACCGTTGTAGAACAAATTAGAGTTGTAATAGGACAGACTATTCTGACAGTACTAAAGAGAGGTTAGAACTATAAGTGTCACTAGATATCGATTACAATGATTTTACACAGTCACTGTATGTCATGTTGAATAACGCCAACAAAGCGGTTTTGCAACTAACAATTACGTGCATTAAAACACTAGGATTGGTTCTATATCATATTCAAATTACCGTCGTTCATTGGTGATGAGAAATCGTTGGTGATCCCATATATTTTTTTTTTTGTCGCCAGTGCTATAGTAACGAACAAATGTTTAACTAACTAGTATTTTTATCATCCAATGAATGGACTCATCAAACCTGTTTCGCAATTCGTAATATCTTTTATATTTTACCGGTGTTACTTGCAAAATGAACTCATATGTAATAAAATCTAGCTCAATTGTAAATATATTCAATTCGCAATGCGCGGAAATGTATTGCTTCGTTGTGCTTTACTTTTTAGGGGGTCTGAGTGACATCACTTGAAATATCCCTCCCGTTTTATCTCTCTGGATATTTAATCAAAAATAAGTGTCATACGAGTTTATACTATTAAATTAAATCGGTAACGCAACAGAAGAAACCAATATGTAAATTTTGTACACCTTTTGAACATCGTTTTTGTTCTCCTTTTTTACGCCACATTTATGGATTCTACCCCTGTATCGAGTGTGATACGATATTTCTCTTTTCGAGACAGTTAAGTTCTCCAATTTAAAAGGCGATGCTTGGGCTTTTTTTTTCAATTTAACTGTCGAGAGTGCAAAAATATCTACCTTACGAGATTTGATATTGGAATCTGCTCTAAAAATGTTAAAACTATGTGTAGAAAAAATTAATATCTTTGATTTTCAAGGATCTGAAAAAAAATATATTTGTAAATCTTTTATTCGTCGTCCTCAGCCATGATCAGGTATGATCGCTTTTTTTTTGTGTCGCCATAATAGAAATTTCAGTGGAAAGCAAGAAAATTTAACGTCACATTTGAGTTATTACCAATGAAGAACTGAGAATAATGAACCAAACGTAGAGTATAAAATATATTCCACCGGTCGATTAAAGTATAAATCGACCAATAATTAGAAAACTATTGCTCATTCAGTATTACATGATACACTATATATGTATGCATACCACAAAATCTCTAAAACGTTTTCCTGTTTACTTTACCTAGTATTTATATTGGTTCCTTTTTCAACATCAATATCGTCACTTTTGCTGCCATTGTTGCGGTCGTTGCTTTCTCTTGATTGGTCATTGTCAAAATCAGAAATCCCTTTTGCACCCTCATCCGCATTTTCATTGGGTAAGGAAAACAGTACTTTAGAAGTTGACAATCTACTCATTTTAGTGTAGTCTTTTTACAACTTTTTGTATGTATCTGTAGTTTTTAGGAATATGTTGATTGACATACCCGTGACTTGTTCTGAAAAATGAATATATCATACCAAAAAGAATATAAGCAGACAATTTTATATTGTTTAATATCACTTGTAGAATTTAGTACATGTTTACACAAAAGATATTGTTCATTTATAGAAGGTATTAATTTATGTTCTAAAATATGTATAGCACAGATATTTTACATAGATTTAAGTTTATTTAAAATATGCATCTGTATTGTCATGCAGGAGTTTATTAGCTTGAATATGTTAACATACCAGTATATAAACACATATCAATTTAAATAAGAAAATTATGACAAAAAAAATACATATTTGTTCTTTAAATTGTCAGGGTCTTGGTGCAAAAGAGAAAAGACAAAGATTATATATGTGGATGAAATATCAAAAATGTAACATTTTGTTATTACAAGAAAGTCATTTTACAGACAAATTAAAAATAAATTTAGAATATGAATTTAAAGGTCAACAATTTCATAGCTTTGGGACTTTACAATCAAAAGGAGTCTCAATCTTCATAAATAATGAGATAGATTGTAAATTTATAGATAAATTTCAAGATGAGGAAGGCAGGTTAATCCTTTTAAATATTGAAATTGAAGACAGTATAAATACTTTGGTAAATATTTATGCACCAAATATACCCCAAAAAAGAAATGTCTTCTTTAAAAAAGTTAAAGATGTTATAACTAAAAATAGCTTAGGAATGGTCATTATAGGAGGAGACATGAATGATACCTTAACTAATATAGATAATAAGCACAATATGTCAAAAAAGTCCTTTAAAGAAAAAAAATCAGTACCCAGTTTAAAATCTTTAATAAAAATACACAAGTTAAGTGATATATGGCAAGAAATACATGGCAAAAAAATACAATTTACTTGGAGAAGGAAAAATAACATCAATGAAGCATCAAGAATTGATTTCTTTTTAACCTGTCCTGAAATACGAACTCAAATAGAATCAACAGACATAAGACCAGCCATTATAACCCATACAGATCATCAAGCAATATCTCTTATGATAAAATGTAGATCACAACAAAAAGGAAAAGGATATTTTAAAATAAATAATAGTGTTTTAGAAAATAATGAGTATCAAAACATAATTAAGAAACTTATAAAACAGTATGAATGTAAAGTATTACTTACCAATGATATTGGGCTTCAATGGGATCTTTTTAAAACAGAGGTGCGAGACTATACTATAGCATTCTGTAAAAGGAAAGCACATAACAATGTAAAAGATATAAACATTTTAGAAAATAAACTTAAAAAATTAAATGAATGTATAAGTATGAAATGCCAAGAAGATGTTATTATCTATTTTAATGAAGAAATCAATAGATTAGAAAATAAACTTAGTAATTTATATGAATCGAAAACTAAAGGGGCACAAATTAGATCAAGAATTAAATGGGTGGAAGAAGGGGAAAAAAATACAAAGTTCTTTTTAGGATTAGAAAAAGCTAGGCAAACAAAAAAAAACAATAACAGCCCTTAAAGATAAAAATGGGGAGATACACAGAGATCCTACAAAAATATTGCAACTTGAAAGAGAATTTTATCAAGATATATACAAAAGTTCAAACCCTAACAGAAGTTATATCAAAGATTACATTATGAATACAGAAATTGATCATAAATTAACCAATAAAGAAAGTGAAAGTATGGAAGGTCTATTAAGTATCCAGGAATGCACAGAATCTCTATTTAAAATGAAACTTAATAAAGCCCCAGGTATTGATGGGTTAAGTGTAGAGTTTTACAAGATATTCTGGGAAGATCTGAAAGAATTTGCTGTTAATACATTCAATTTCTCATTTGAAAAAGGGGAGTTAACTAATTCACAAAAAATAGGAGTTATTTCCCTCCTACATAAAAAAAATGACCCTCTCTCTCTAGATAACTTTAGGCCAATAACATTATTAAATGTAGATACAAAGATTGTAGCTCAGTCATTAGCACAAAGAATTAGTAAAATATTACCACAAATTATTCATGGGGATCAAAACGGGTATGTTAAAAATAGATATATTGGATATAACATTAGACAAATTCAAGATATCATTGATTTTGCAGAAAAATTTAACATAGAGGGAGCTTTACTTTTCTTAGATTTTTCAAAAGCTTTTGATTCTTTAGAGTGGGATTTCATGTTTTTAGCTTTGCAAAAATTTGGATTCAAAAGTTCAATGTTGAAATGGATTAAAGTTCTATATACTGATATTAAAAGCTCAGTTATAAACAATGGTTGGATTTCAAAACCTATAAGCATTTTTCGTGGGATTAGGCAAGGGTGCCCATGCAGTGCGATAATTTTTGTAATTGCTGTTGAAATTTTAGCATGTAGGATCAGACAAGACCACGACCTCAAAGGCTTTGAAATTAAACTTGATGGCAAAACTCACACATTAAAAATTAGTCAACTAGCAGATGATACAACTCTTTTTCTTAGAACAAAACAAGATATTTCAAAAGCTCTTAATATGATTGAAACATTTGGAACATTGTCAGGGTTGAAATTAAACAGAGCTAAAACCGAGGGTGTTTGGCTTGGGAAACAAAAAAACTGCAAAGATGAACATGAAAATATTAACTGGACAAATATACCTGTAAAAAGCCTAGGTATATATTTTGGTCATAATAAAAAAGAGTGTCAAAGATTAAATGCTGAAAAACTTTTAGAAAAATCAGTAAAAATTATTCTTAATTGGAAAAAGAGAAACTTAACCATGATAGGAAAGATCACAGTTACTAAATCATTAATTATTCCTAATATTACATTTTTAGCATCTGTCTCAACCATAGATAAAGAGTATTTAAACCAGTTTAAAAAAATGATATATGAATTTTTATGGAATAACAAAACGGAAAAGGTTAAACGTTCTGTACAAAGTTACGACAAATTAAATGGGGGATTAAAAATGATTAATTTAGAGAAATACATAGAAACAATAAAAATAGGTTGGATTAAAAGATTAAATGCAGAGCAATTTTTAAACTGGACAGTAATACCAAAATTTTATTTAAACAAATTCGGAAACAATCTTCTTATATTGCAAATGAATCTGAACAGTGTAAATTCAATACCAGATATAAAAAAACTACCAGAGTTTTATCTTGATATAATCAAAGTTTGGATTAAGAATAAAAATAATAATAAAAATAATAAATACCCAAAAAACTACAGACTAATCCGCCAACAAGTTATTTGGGGAAATCAGTGGATAAAATCTCAGGAAAAGACATTATTATTCCAAAACTGGATAGATAGCAACATAATATACATAAATGATATCATTGATGAATCTGGAAATATAACAGAAAGATTTATTAGACAAAAGCTTAATAAAAAGACAAACTGGATTACTGAATTTTTAAAATTAAAAAAAGCTATACCAAAAGAATGGGTTAATATATTAGCTGAAAACTGTTCAAGAACAACTAATGTACTAACAGATAATGTTTTGTATATTTATGACAAAGATAACTTAAAACAAAATATAAATAAATCAGAAACAAGTAAAATTTACAAAATATTATTAGAGCAAGATAAAGAAATACCAATTGGCTTTTACAAATGGAAGAGACTATTAAATTTTGAGAACATAGAAAATAAAGCTCAAAATATACTAAAATTTGTTCATAATTATTTGAAAGAAAATAAATTAAAAATGTTCAGATGGAAACTCTTACATTTTATTCTTCCAAACAAAGTTTTATTAAAACAATGGAAAATATGCCAAAACTCAGACTGTAATCACTGTAATATTACAGAAGATTATGAACACTTTTTTATTACATGCCACTTTCTTGATAAATTTTGGAAAGAAATATTTAATCTGTTAGAAAAAGCTTGGAAAACACATTTTAACACTAAAAAATTTGATTTGGGGTTACAAAATAAGTGATATAGAATACTATGATATTAATTTTTTTCTTACAGTGATTATGTTTTCAATTCACAAAATACACTATCTGTCAGAGTTTAGAACAAAGAATATTAATGTATTTTCTGTTTTTAAAACTGAGCTTAGAAATAGGCTCATTCTACAAAACAAATTTTTTAACCATGAAAGAAAAGGTATATTAGAAAAAATATTTAGGTGTATTTGAATTGTATGAACTGATAACATGGTTAGTAATGTTATCTTTGTGTAATAACTAATTTATTATCTAATTTTGTATTCATATAATTATGATGCATGATAGACATTGCAATATTTATATAATCTGGTAAGATGTATATACATTACAAAAAACACAGCACAATTGTTTTTCGATTATCGTATGACTATTAATCCTTCAAATTATAACTGTCTTACCTGAATAATGATGTAGAAAAAGCTAATTACAATCTTTTTCGATATTGATTAAAATAAACAGTTATCCGGAAACCCATGGAAACTGGTAATAGGTTATAAATCATCCCAAACTCGGATGAACTATGAAATTCCGAAAAAAAAACGCCAGATAATATAAATACTTTATTATAATATCAATAACATTATTTATCTATTGATGTTATATTAATATTTTGTAAACGACTAACAATATGCAGTTTATCTACCTGAAGAATCCCTGAACTTCTGGTACTAATGAAACAGGGACCTTCACTGAGATAGCTGTGTCAGTGGAGTAATTGTTAACAGCGTGTGCAATACTGTTGTTGAATAAAAAAAAAAAAAAGAAAAATGTTTATTTGAAAATATATGAAGCCAGAATGATCGAAATAAAAGCAAAAATCTGTTAATTAACTGACAAAAATGGGAGATGCTTAAGAGATAATATCAAAGAAACTACTGAACAGTACTTTGGAAACATCACTTGTAACCAAAAACGGCTTCAGCTGGGATGGTCTGATTCTAAAGACCTTAAATCGCTATTTTCCAATATTCTGCTCAACGAAGAGTTTACTTTTGCTCATAAGGTACTGACTTACAGTATAGCTATAAAATTAATCTTAAAAGATGCATTTTAATATTTATATTGTTTTAAAGTTTGGAGTGTTGTGGTAATAATCATTGTGTATAAGTTTCATAACATTTAGTGGCATTTTAGAGAGTTCCTTTGAATTTCAGAGCGTAATAATTTTCAAGTCTAAGTTTACGTATAGAGTGCATGGGATATATGAAAATATGGTGTATTTGAAAGACCAGTCATATATAGTTACATATTTATTGTAGTACCGATAGGTTCCAATGAATGTTATGTGGGCATAAAGCTTATGGGTATCATACATGAATTAGATAGTTTATTTAGGGAATGACTGTAATAGTTTTTCTGTCTATGAATAAATTTCATCAAAAATGTGGTGCACACTGAGTGACTGAAGTTTATTTAAAAGTGTGCCCCACATTTTTAAGGCTATTTCGAATAGAGAGAAAGAATATTACAGTCATTCCTTATATTTTAATTCTAAAGGCCATTTTTAAGGAGTAAATCGTGAAAAAACCTTGATGACGTCACGGTCACATGACAAAATTATGTCTATGAGCTGATAGACAAAAACTTTCAGCCAATCAAAATATAATTAAAGGGGATTTTTGGGTAAAAATTAAAATATCAAAAATACCAAACTCCAAGGAAAATTCCAAATTGAAAGTCCCTTATATAACAAATGGCAAAATCAAAAGCTCAAACACATCAAACGAATGGAAAACAACTGTCATACTCCTGACTTGGTACAGGCATTTCCTTATGTAGAAAATGGTGGATTAAACCTGGTGTATAGCTAGCTAAACCTCTCAATTGTATGACAATCTTATAAAATTCCATTATATTGACAACAATGTGTGAGCAAAACAAACAGACATAATAGATACAAATGTCAAAAATTGGGGTACAGAAGTCAACATTGTGTTGAAATCATAATCACCATAAAAAACAACTATGTCAACAAAGACAAACAAAAAAGCACACAGACACTCTATAGACAAAGTACATAAGCAAAAATGATGAACAAGAATACAAATAAATTGGGAATGTGTCCAGGGGACACAAATGATGCCCCCGCGTGCATATAACGTTACAAAGGGACATAACTCAAGAACAGTAAAAGTGATGCTACCCAAATTTGTACTTCATCGAGTGTTGTGGTAATAATCATTGTGTATAATTTTCATAACATTTGGTTGAGACAAACTTACGTTAGAGAACGGAAACGAAAAATTCAGCAATTTTTCCATTTGTAAAGTGACATAACTCTAGACCGGTATACTTGACGCCACCAATTTTCGAACTTGATCTGTTTTTTGCGCTAATACTGTGGATTCATATATTTTCATGGGTACCAATTTTCAAGGATTGCGGAAAACTTGCCTTTTCGCGGATATGTGATTTCGTGGTTTTGCCAAAATCTGCATACACCTTGATAGAAATTTGTAATTCGTAGAACATTTTAATTCGTTAAATCATTACATTAAGTTCAAATTTTACAGGTATTTGCTTTGACTCCCGGACTAGATAACGCCGTACATTTGTTCGATACACAATGTGACATCATTGATTTTTTTTTGGCTTTCTCCGTTTCTAACTGACTTCATATTTCAATGTCCATTGGTGGATTTTACATGCATTTCGGATATTTCATAAAAACCGAAAAACATGTTTACATATGATATCATGTCGTCATTCGATTTATCGAGGACTCCGTCCGTTGATATTCATTTGTATGAAATTACAAAGATAAAATCCGTTGATTAAGTAGGAGTAATTTGAAGAAAAAAAATGATTGCTGCTAATTTTGTAGAATTGTTTAATTGTACCGTATTCATGTTGTTCAGTTTAGCAAATCGTTTTGAGTATCTAGCAAAATAGTTCAGCATTACCAAAATGATTACGGTAAATTCAAAAGTAAAGAGTGTGTTATTTCTGTATAAAATAAAATGGTGAAAAAAAACTCCTTTAAATCTGACTTCTTCGCTGTCTTTTAGGAAATTTACGATAAGAATTAAAGGAGTGAAAAATAATATTGAAATCTGCATTAAAAAGTAACAACCGGAAAAAAAAAAACGTAATGTGATGCATATTGATAATGGCCTTGGAAAATAAAAAGACAAAAAGGATAAATTGTTCAAACATTGAGTTTTTCTTCTGCTTCAGGTAAAATTTAATACTTATATATCTTAGATTTCTTGATTATAAAAAGCATGCAATGTTATATAAATCAGCTTTTTGAAATTTGTATATTTTTGGAAATTATAAAACTCACTCAATATATATTAGAATTACGATCATTCAACATCAGATACTTACTTTTTATTGATGAATGTACATGTTTTTTTTTTCTTCGAAAAAGTTCCTTTGCTATATATATCAGCAGTCTGACATTGTTTTCTTTGGGTCTAGTATTAACATTAATTTAAAGATAACTTTACCTACACCTTTGCCCCCATTTCATTTTATTTTCTTTTTGTTCCATATATGCACCATTGTAATCAATTGCAATTTTCAAAATGTTTTTTTTTTTTTTTATAATTCTATTCTCTTCCATCTTTAATCAGTAGGCTGTTTTCCTATGGAAAATGCCTCAGGGGATTGTACACTTCATTAGTGTAGTTATTAAGAGTTCACTTTCATAATTAATCTACAATGAAATGTCTTTCATGTATGGCATCTTATAGTGCATAGAAAGCCATGTACTATGAAAATTAGAAGGAAAAAAACTGATTTTCTATTGGACGAGAAGGGGTGAGTATGTTCTAATGTTTATCCAAACATAATTGCGCTTTAAAGTCATACATTATAATACAAGAAGTTTAACAATATTTAACTACATGTATATTATGAATAAATGATCACCAAACTAAAATCAAGAGAATTTGCATTAAATTACGTTACAAAACTTTACAAGTTTTGAACTTGAGCTTTTCAATTGAACATGTATGTGTACTACACTAATTTCCTGTTTGGATTAATCCCACTTCATGTCAACACAAATGAAATAAAATTAAGGAAGAATTGGTAGTAAAAAGGAATATGATGATTTGCCTTTCTTATTTATCCAATTAGAATTTGCATTGAAATTTGCATTTGCATAGACCATCACCGTCTCTATTGCTATTCCGTAAATAGTTATCAAAGGTATCAGGCTTATAATTTGATACGCCAGATGCGCGTTTCGTCTACATAAGACTCATCAGTGACGCTCAGATCAAAATAGTTAGAAAACCAAACAAGTATAAAGTTGAAGAGCATTGAGGACCAAAATTTCAAAAAGTTGTGCCAAATACGGCTAAGAATGTCTATGCTTGGGATTAGAAAGTCCTTAGTATTTCGAATAATTCATACTTTTGCAAACAGTAAATTTATAAAAATGACCACATAATTGATATTCATGTATCATTGAATTCGAAATAATTTCATTTAGTACCAACGTTCATATCAGCAGCTAGATTAAAATTTGTTCAAAATTTAATAACTTAAAATATAACTATGGTACGTGGTTAGCATTCCGAAGGAAAACAAATAGTCCGATGCCTTTGTTTACACTTTGTTCATACAAAATCATTGATTGATTATCACGTCTGTTTGTGCCTGAATTTTAACATGTGTTTGTGATATACACAAACTTTTATAATTTTTCATACTTAAAACATTGTACAAATTCAATTGCTATAAGAATGGCAATAAATCCAGATAAACGGAACCGTATTATTTCTCTACATAAAAAATAACAATAAACAATAAACAAAATTACATGACAGTACAGTACATATTTCATCTAATATATGATATTATTTTTCAATTTTCCCTTACCTTGCGAACATATGATATAAGGGAAGTTCAAGAACAAATATTGCACACGTATAATCTTAGGCAGTGTGTACTAGACGACGTATTTTGTAGAAAGGATTTTTGGAATGGAGACCTTTTACTTAGTTTAAGACATTTGTTGTTTTATCCGTAACGGGATTCTAGTCTTGTTTTGTACACTGCATTGTTGTTCAATTACATTTACACTAAATGGAAATTTTAAAGATGTAGATAAGAGTGTATCATGTTTATACAATTATATTATATAGATCATGTCTGCCTACGTCAGATGAGATATTTTTAGAAATTAAAATTGAGAGAACAGAAATATTTTTAGGACCTAGTTAGGACACTTTTAGCTAATTAGATAGCAGATATAAGAAAAGTGTTAATCAGCCCGTTTTTTCCTGTCAATTTTTAATTTTGTTTTTCAAACTCACAAATCCCACCATTTCCCGTTAAAAAAACAAAAAATACATAAATACACAAATTAAATAATGTTGGGGCTACTTATATATATATATATAATTACTATCTTCATAACTTCAAGAAATAATTTTGTACCCCCAAGTAAAAATTCAAATCATCACTTTATAAATTTCATGCGTACAAAACGTTTTTCTTGATTTACATCAGGAACACTCAAAGCCAAATAGTCTAAAGCTAAGGATGTATAAGAACCGAAACAGTTAAAGAGCTATTCGACCAAAAAGGACCTAAACATATAGCACAAACTACTTAAGGCCAACTTTGCCTGCGGGAGTTAAAAGCTTAGTTCTTTGTAATTTTTATTTATACATTTATTTATTTTAGACAGGTTTGCTAAAAATCATATCAGTATCGAAGTATACAAAATACTAAGCTGAAAGCCCAACAGCAGCGGTATCGACCCAGTCCTGAAAAAAATGAATTGAACATTTTATAAATTTCATACGT